ACTCAGTCCAAGTCTGGCCGGCCCCGGCCGTGGCGCCGGGCTTGTTGCCGCCGCCGTTGCCGCCTCCCGTGGTGCTGGTCTGCATCGTGGTCCAGCCGCCGTTGCCGTCGTTGGCCCTGAGCGCCGTCACGACCGTCTCGCTCGTCGACGTGGATACTGCCGAGCTCTGCGTCGTTTTGGTGGTCTGCTTTTCCGACGCGGCGCAGTCGCTCTTGCCGTCCGGGCACACGGTGGCGTCGCGGACCGTGGACGAGTAGATGGTGTTGGTCGAGGTGCTGGTCCAGACGGTCGTGACGACGGTGGCGCCCGCCGCCGTCGACGTCGTCGTCGTGTCCGGGGACGTGCTGGTGCTGGTGACGGTGTTTGTAGGCGAGACGGTGGCCACGACCACCTCGGTCACGGGAGCGACCGACGTCGTCACAGCGTACGACGACGTCACGACCGAGGCGACGGTGCGGTCCGAGGCCGCGCAGTCGCTCTTGCCGTCGCGACAGGCGCTCGTGGTGACCAGCGAGGTCGAGTAGCCCGTGCGCGTCGAGTCGTAAACCCTCGTGGATGTCGTGGTCGACGAGGGAGAGGGCGCGGGGGCGCTAGAGCTGCTAGAAGTGCTCGAGGCGCTAGATGTTGGGGGTGTGATTGTAGTCGCCCAGACGCTCGTGGCGATCGGGATCGTTTCCGTGATCAAAGATGAGGACTTGCCATCGCGAAGCGGGCAGTCTGGCTTGTCCGACGGGCAAGCAGTGATCGTCTTGATGGAGGTGCTGTAGAGGACTGACGAGGTAGAGGTTGTCGTGGGAGTTGACGCAGCTTGGATGGTGATCGGGCAGATGGTTGTCGAGAGAACAATAACCTCAGTGACAAGGGACGTTGTCTTCTGGTTCAGCGGGCAATCCTTCTTGTCCGGAGGGCACGCCGAGACGGTGTTTATCCGAGTCGAGTAGATGGTCGAGGTGGACATGGATGTCGTTGCGGGCGCTGGCGTCGGGCTGGGGTTCTTGGGGCTCGGCGTCATGGTGATCGGGCAGATAGTAGTCGACAGAACAACAACCTCGGTGACAAGCGACATGGTCTTCTGGTTGAGAGGGCAGTCCTTCTTATCAGGGGGGCAAGCCGAGACGGTGTTGACTCGTGTTGTGTAGATAGTCGAAGTGGACATGGAAGTTGTGGGGGTTGGCTTAGGAGAAGAAGAGGATTGAGAAGTCGTGGTGACTGGGCAGACAGTGGTCGAAAGAACGACGGTTTCAGTCACCACCTTCGACGACGTCTTTTCCCGAAGCGGGCAATCCTTCTTGTTAGACGGACAGGCCGAGACGGTGCTGACCCGGGTCGTGTATATGGTCGAGGTGGTCGAATTCGGAGGGCTGGTTGTGGTGGCGCTCGTGGTACTGTTGGAGTAGGAAGTCGTCGCCTTCGAGGAGCTCAAAGAGCTGGACGTCGTTGTGACGGGACACACGGTGGTAGAAAGGACAATCGTTTCGGTCACCACCTTGGAGGACGTCTTTTCTCGGAGCGGGCAGTCCTTTTTGTTGGGAGGGCAGGCCGAAACGGTGCTGACTCGGGTGGTGTAGATGGTCGAGGTGGTCGACCTCGGAGGGCTCGTGGTAGTAGCGCTTGTGGTGCTGTTGGAGTACCTCGAAGTTGAGTGCGACATGGTACTGTTGCTATAGGAGGTGGTCGATCCCGAGGTGCTGGAAGAGCTGGAGGACTTGTGCGAGGTAATAGGGCACACCGTTGTGGAAATGGCAAACGTCTTTGTGACCACATGCGTCTTCTTTTCGCGCAGAGGACAGTCCTTCTTAGTAGACGGGCACTCTGTAACAGTACTTACCTGGGTAGAGTAGATCGTCGACGTCGTCGAGGAGGCGGGGGTCGTCGTGGTCGGGGACCTGCTGCTGCTAGATGAGCTAGTAGTAGTCGCCGAATTAACAGCACAAGACGTGGTCTTCACCGCGTAGGATTCGCTTGTAGTTTTTGTAACTGGATTACCCACACACTTGCCCAATATGGTCATCATGCAGCTCGTTGTAGTCTTGGCCCTGGTCGTGTAGATGGTGCAGGGTGTGCTCGTGGCGGCTGAAGTCGTCGAGTTCGAGTGTCGAGAAGAGGTCGATGAGGACGTGGTCATTGTCGAGTTCGAATGGGAAGTGGTCATGGACGTGGTAGTGGCTGAGGATGTAGTATTGCTGGACGAAGTGCTAGAGGACGAAGTGCTGGAGGACGAAGACGAGGTGGTTGTGTGCTTCGGGGAGCAAGGAACGACGGTAGTCCGAACAAATTCCTTGGTCGTAGAGAGCGAGGTGGTCTTTTCCCTTTCAGGACAGTCCTTGCGGGAAGCGGGACAGACAGTGACGGTCTTGACAACGTTGTTATAGACGGTAGAAGTAGTCATGGACGTGGTGGTGGCCGATGAGGTAGTGTTGGTTGATGACTGGCCCGAAGACGTAGAGGAGGAAGAGCTCGAGGAGCTAGTCGTCGTCGGCGCCGGGGTGGTACTGGTGCCGCTTTCAGTGACTGGACAGACCGTGGTAGTAATTGGGATGGTCACCACAACGACCGAGGTGGTCTTCGAGTTGCCGGGGCAGTTGGGCTTGTCGTGCGGACATTCCGTTACTGTCTTGCGCTCCGTTTTGCAGATGGTCTTTGTCGTCATGCGCGTGGTGTGGGAGGAGCTGATGGTGGTGGTGGGCTTGCTCGAGGTCGAGTTGGAGCTGGTAGTCGTGGTAGGCTTGCTCGATGTCGAGCTGGAGCTAGAGCTAGTTGCTTTGCTCGATGTCGAGCTGGAGCTCGTAGCAGTGCTAGGCTTACTAGAATTTGAGCTAGAGCTGCTGCTCGAGCTGCTCGTGCTGCTGACAGTCGTCGAGGTCGGCCTAGACGATGAGCTGCTGCTCAGGCTAGTCGAAGAAGCCGAGGTGGTTGTGACCGGCGCCGTGCTTCCGCTGCTGCTGCTGCTGCTGCTGCTCTGCGACGTCGTGCTGGTGGACTGGTGGGTAGCCGAGTAGGTGATACACGAGCAGGCGGAGCTGACGCGCTTCACGTCGCCGCCGCAGTTGGTGATGTCCTTGTGGATATCGCCCGCGTTGTTGGACTGGGAGCCAAGGAACTTGGGGCACCAGTCCTTGACGGCGGCACTGAACCTGGCGTCGATCATGTTGCGGTAGCAGTTGTCGTGCTCCTTTGGTTGGGGTCAATGTGCGTCGTTAGTCTCAGGTCTCTTTGCTGCTCCCATGCCCTGCGGGCGAGTCTTGGAGCCGGGTTCGGGCGGCCGAGAACCTGCCGCTGGAGGACAGTGCTCGCCAAAGGCCGCGAGGACCGGGCCCTTTGTCGACTTACACAGTTGGGGTACTGGGTGGCGCTAGTGGCGCCGATGGCCACAGTGGCCAGGATGAAGAAAGAACGCATCGCTACGTTGGGATGGTGGATTATCGTATGCGGTGGTAGTTTATGTTGGTCGGTTGGTCGTCAGGGTGTCGTCTCCTCCTATTGAGACGAGATAGGTTGGCGTAGGTCAGCCCACACTCTTGAAGAGTATCTCGAAGGGCGTTCAAGCTGCTGCTAAACTTCAAGGTGTTCTCTGTCTTGTTTCGCCGATGCATTGGATTCCCCGGACAACAGGGACCACGGGTCTTAAGAGCAGACGGCCGGGCTGGATCCCCGGGGCGGCGTCGACTGCGGCTCGGGGCCGTTGGCGCCATGGCAGCTGCTAGGCTTCATGGGGAGCAGAGCAGTCAGGCCAGAGTAAGCAAGCAGGGCTGTATCCCACAAAGGGCCTGGGGCTTTTGGGTCAAGTGCTGGCAGCCAATGGGAGGCTGCCGGGAGGTGGCCCAACATCGATTGTTAGCAAGCGCGGTTCTTGGCTGCGAGCGGCACAAGATGGTATCGACCTCGAGATCTGGGGGGCCCCAGGCCGACCAAGCAGAAGATGGCGGCGGAGCACCAAGTATTGGACCCGCAGCTTGGCCGAATCGGGGAGTTCGATCTTCAAAAATATCCCTACAGGGCGCAATGCGGGGCGCAGCGGCAGTGTTCCGTGAGAATTGCGGCATATGATTGGCCAAGCCAGCTGGGCCTACGAGGTACCCTGGCCGCCTTACTGTTTCTGACGTTGCTGCGCAGCTCGACTGCGCACCCTGATCGATATCTCTCGTGTGGTGAGCCGCAGACCGACTGCAACATCTGGCTGCGAGCCATCGTTTCCTGATCTATCGATTTCTCAATGTCTTCGCGCACACGCGACGCGTTCGTGGGGAAGGTGAACCGAGCCAGGATTGGATCCCTTGGGTTTGCAGGTGCTCTAAAGTTGCGCTTGACCCTGTGCCGCGAACGCCTGACAACTCTCCAGTCAGCAATGCAGGTCTTCTCTCCTGCTGATTGTTAGCCGAGACAGCGAGGGTAAAGCGCGCAGACATGTTGCTGGCAAATGGACCAAGCGAAAAGCCAGAGCCAAAGGGACCGGGGAGCGCAGTGAAATCAAAAACGCTAAATTATAATGCGAATGCAGCAAAACTCCAGGCTTATATGGTGCAAACTGAGCATGCCTTTCAGGGCGCTCATTGCCATGGACCCATCCTATATATCCAACTGGGGAGGAAACGAGAAAATACAAGTGCCAAAGCACCAGATGCATACAGTATGTACATGGTTTAGATAGGTACATCCAACTATTATATAGAAGCGCCTCAGGGGACGCTAATGGGAATTGGAAGAAGCAGCTGGGGCTGGGGTTGATGGCTTGGCCATGGAAGCTGGCGGCGCCATCCCCGGTGGCCTTGGCGGTCTTCGAACCTCGAACCCCTTTTTGCTTCCGCTGTCGCTGCTCCCGCTGCTGTTGCCCGCAGAGGCCGCCCTCCTGGTCGTCAGCTGGACCCAGACGGTCGGCTTCTTGGGGCGAGACGACAGTGACGAGGAGGACGGGCCGCCGCCGCGAACTTCCTTGTCATCGTCGTCGTCGTCGTCCGGAGGTGGTGTGCCGTAGTACAAGTCGGCCTCCCGGAACGAGTAGTCCTTCCAGCGCGACGCGAGAGGCGCATGTGCCTTCTGGAGCGGCACCGGCGCCTCGGCGTTGACGAGGGTGGCCCCGTCGGAGCGCAAAGACTCAGACGACTGTCGTCGCCACGGCTTGCCGGTGGGATCTAGGGATGCATCTCGCGTCTGCGATGAGAAGAGGTGCGCGGACGCGTCGTTGACCGCGGGTGTTAGCGGCGATCGCGGATGGCTCCCATCCAGCGGGGTCAAGCCTCCGGTGTACGACGACAGAGATGCTAGCGAGGGCTGAGTGCGGGGGGCACGGAAGGCGTGGTGCTGTGGAACGGTGCGGACAGTGACCGAGATTCCTGCATCGCCCGAGTTATGAGGGCTGTGCGGAGAGAGAAGCGGGGTGGCGGGGGCTCGCGGGTCCATGGACCGCCGACCGCCATCACGACCCTGCTCGGGAGCGCGGAGGCCGTTGGAATAGTTGGTTCGACGACGGGTGAGCTGGCTGACACCGTAGATCTGTTCCGGGAGAGTGAGCAATAGAGGTTAGCGACGAATCGTTTGAGAGAGAAGCACAAATATCATATCTAGGTCCAGTGGCATGTGGGTACCAGGGCCGGGGCTGCTTACCTCGGGCTCGTCAAACACCGCCATGTTCCTGAACCATACCCGCGCCAGGCGCAGCACTGCAGGCACTGCGCATGCGAAGAGCAACACTGCGGCGTGAATAGCCAAGATGGTGTACCCTACGGCCATCCTAGTCCCGATGTCGGCGCGCAGCTGAGGCAGGAAGATGATGGTGAGGACCACAACGGCCAGTCGCGCAAGGCAGGAACAGATGAAGACCAGGGCGAAGCTAGGGAAGGGGTTGAGGATCGCCGTGCTGGCGAGGAGGACAAACTCGAGCAGGGCCATGATGGCAAGCTGGCCTATGGGGTTGGACTGGACCCCTCCAATCATGGCGCCTCTCATAAAGGCAACGACGAAGAAAATTATGGTGAAGCTGGCGCGGCTGTCAAACCAACGATGGCGAGTTGCCTCGCCAGCTTGGCCATCATTCCCGGCGCCCTGATGCAGCGAGCGGTACTTCTTCTTGGAGCCGCCAAGCAGCAGAGTGCCGAGCTGGTTCAGGGGAGCGGCGGTCGACACCCACGCGATGCCGCATATCACCAGCACCATCAGCGTCACAATCAACACCAGTTGCCACACCGGTAGAATATTGCTGGTAAGTTGGTACGTCATGAACGCAACCAAGGGCTGCAGAAAATAGCTGAATACCACTCGGAGGACGTTCCATGTGGTGCGCATGGCAGTCTGGTGAGGCCGCGCCTCGGCATCGGGCGAGGCTGTAAACTTGGCACGGATGGACGGCACCATGGGGGAGATTTTGAGCACCAGCGCGACAGCAATGGCGACAAGGCCGGCCAGAAGGAGCATGTTCCAAAACACATAGGTTGTCATGGCCGTTCCCGAGACCTGAGACAGGAGCGAGATGCCGTCGGTACCGGTGAGAGTGCCGTTGATCCAGTAGATGCCATCTCCAACACCGTCGGAGACTGCTTGCATGCCGATGGGGCCACTGGGGCTGAAGAGGACAGCCCAGTTCATTTTACTGACAACAGGCTGGTAAAAGCCGGGGTATCGGACCGTCAGGGCTCCCATGAGGAATATAAACTGCAGGTGCAGTAGACAGTCCCCCACACCAGGAAGGATCGCTCTGGCCGGCGGAGACTCCGGGTGCTCCTGTAGCGGTACCTGGCCCGCCCAACGGCTATGCGCCATGTCCACCACGATCGGCTGCTTATACATGGTTGTGAGGAAGCCTGAGACGACCACCAGTACGAAGATGAGGATGGGAACGATCCGCGCCGCGAGTGCGATGGTGTCGGAGAGCGCCGGTGTGATCTCGGCGTATATGCAGATTGGCGACTTGGGCCCCTGAGGACCAGACTCGAACGATACTCGCAAGGCAAAGGTCGGGAGCACGCCAAGTGGGCCGACGTCAACTTGGGATTTCACCATCAATTTGGGTCCGTAGTCGAAAGGTTTAGTGCTGCGAGGCAGGGGAGATGCACACGATTAGCTACCGGTTCTCTGGCCAGCCTTGGGGGGACTGGGGAGGATTCACGAACTTGTTTGGTGGGTAGGACGCCAAGTAACAAGAGACGTTTTGGGGGCTGCCCCTTTTGGAGAGCGAAAGTCCCAGTGCAGTGACACCGAGAGACAGGTTCCAGGGCTGTCTCGCTTGGTCCTCACATGATAGGCTAGCCTTGGGTTCGATGTCGAGGACCAGACTCAGCTGGTGGCCGGTACTGGTTCCGGAGCCGGCTTCAGCGGGCCCAGGTAAGAGCTTCGTATTGACGCTCCGGACATAGGGAACGAGTCCAGCGGTCCCATTGCTGGCATTAGTGCTGACAGCGATACCGTCCACGACGTCACAGGGCAGAAACTGCACACCAACGGCGTGAGCAGTTGGGAGAGAGCGGCAGGCGGCGAGGGCGAGGGCGAACAACCATCGTAGCCTCGACCTCGACGACATGGGAGCGTGGTGGCGATCGAGTCGCCTTCTGGCGGGAGCATTGTCATATAGCGCTGGACCAACGCTCGGCTGGTGCATGTCCAGGGCGGGCGAGGGGCGGCGTTTGCCGGGCTTAGGAGTCTAGCGGCCAGCTGACGAAGCCATAGACTTGGTCGAGCCGCTGCTCTGTTGTTTATTGCAGTCGGCCGTTTGTTGACTCGGTGGGTAGAGGCAGGGAGGAACGGGAAAAGGTCGGATCGGGTGGCGGGAGGATGGGCAGTCGCCACCAGGCTTCGGACGGGGTCGCAGTTGAGGAATAGGTGGGTGTAGACTGGTGTTCGCAAGAATTGTTGATTGACCAGAGTTGAGCGTTGAACTCGACCCCTTTTTTTCACCCTGCTCTTTGCAGCTTCCATGCTTGTGGGGCGCGGCTTGTTAGGGGATCGGCATTCAGGAGTCTTTGCGGGTACCGCTCTCCGCAGCGGCGACGCGTTGAGCACCCGGCGTTTTCGGGTCATTGGCCAATTGAATTCAGCGATTGAGTTTGTGACCTAGTGGCCGAAACAGGACACACCGCCAACGAGAAAATCAACATGAACGATGGAACGCATCCCAGGCAAGCAAAGTGCGTGCGTCTACGTGCAATTGGAACGCAAAATGTAGTATAAAAAATAGAAAAAAAAAAAGAAGAAAAAAAAAAGAAACAGAATATGATAAGGAAGAAAAGAAAAAGAAGGAAACCCCAAAGGAAAAGGTTAAATAAGCAGATTAAGATTAAATTTAATGTATTTAAGATAAGTACGAGTCACTGTCGATGCACTTCGCGGGGCCAAGCGCACATTGCCTCGTGTTCTTCTGCTAGCCTTCCTTCCCGTTTTAGTGCTTCTTTCCTATTCATGCCCGCATTGAATTGCCCGCTCACTTCTTTCGGCTGCTAATGGAGCTGCCTTGCTCGATCACCCCGGTTGCCAAGCTCAGCCTTCTGCAATTTGATCGAATTTGATTGTTCTCCATCCCAGCCAACCAACATCCACATCGTCTTGTATCTTCCTCCGCCATTGGCTCCACCAGCCAACGCCTGAGCCCGTGCTTGATCCTCCTTACCGGTGCTGGATTTCAGCTGATCATGCCGCTCGATACGCCACCCCCTCCGCCCCCTCCTCCGCCGAGCACTTCTCGCAATGCCGCACCGCCCACTGCTGCCCCGCAGCCACCTGCCGTGGCTAGCAGCGGGCCTCCCGGGTCCTTGCTGGTCAAGCTTCTAATCTTCAACGGCCATCCTTTCAAGAACCACTGGGCGTATTTCGTCCCGTTCGCGCGGGGCGTCGGCGTTGGCGTCCTGATGCATGCAGCCGGCGATGTCCGGACTGGATTCGAGTTTCAGATTAGATGGCGGCACAATTTCGACCTGACGGGAGGCAGGCCGATGGAAAGAATCCCTTTGCAGTGGATTGACCCCCGGTTCCTGGACGAGGCTGCCATGTTCGGCCATGGAAGTCACAAAATCGACAGTACCCCAGTGTGCCTGTTCGAGGCCAGCGCCGCCAAAATCCAGGTCCCCGAAAAATCGCTGAACTCGGTTGCTGATACTGTAAGTTTCCGCGTTCCCCGCAGATAAAATTTTCGAACGTCCCTCCACCATGCGAGATTGGGTAGTTGCTAACAGGCCGATTCAAATAAGGCCGCGGCTGGCAGGAGAGTCATCCAGAGAGACTGTCAGACCCTGGATAGTTGAGTCCGGCGACCAGCTCGTCCGAGACGGCATATTTGCTCCAGAGGTTGCGGCCTACCTAGAGATGATCAGACAGTGATGTAAAATCAGGAGCCGCCCCGCTGATTTGACGCCCGCACGGCCCTCCGGGGGCAAACGTCAAATTGCCCTGATTTTAATTTTGAACGTTAAGGCAAAAGAATTGAGTAATACTACTTTTTTAATGTTTTAACTCGTTCTTTGAACAATTTAAAAAAGCAGAAAAGGCGGTAGCAAAACCCGAAGGCGTAGCTATTTTTATTTATTCCCGATTTTTATTTATTTATTATCGATTTTTTATATTTACTAATTTTTATTTATTCCTGATATTTATCGGTTAAACGGTAATTTCCAAGGGGAGACCCACTGGGACCCCCCTTCTGCCTCTGGCAGCCTTCCCAAGGCCCTTACGGATCGCTTTTCTCCCACGGAAGGCTACCACAACAACCCTAACCCCTCACACGCAGGACTATCTAGCAATTAAAATTGACTAATCGTAAGCTAAGACGGTCAGATGCTCGTGCGTGGACTGGTCAGCGGCTAAGTTAGTGTAGGAGGGTTTGAGCCGGAGGTTCGAGCTACCCCCCGGTAAAAATGGGGTTTTACTAATTGAACTCCGTTTTTTCCTTTAAATAGTGGGCCTACGGGCCCACGCGTCATAGGGGTAGCTCAAACCTCCGGTGGCCCAAACCCTCCTACTTTAACTTATTTAAGCTACGGATTGTGTCCTAAGTAGGGGAAACTTTTGTTAGCAATTTGTTAAATTCCCTAGGTAAAGAACAGCTACGCTTCAATACCGCCTTCGCCTCGCAAGCTCGACATCCGGCGGTGTTGTGGCTTCGCTGAACGAGGACCCGGAGCCCCGTGTTAGGGCAGTATAGAGAGTGTAAAGCCCCCAAAGCTTCCTTCCCCGCCTACTACTGAGCCTGGATTCCCAACACGCCGCCATTTCCTCGATTTCCTCCGGTGCCATGACAGGTGGCAGGCGATCGGCTCCAACAAGTTCCCTCTGCGCTTTGCCCGGCAGCCCAAGAACACGGACATCCCCTCGTCTGCCTTTTACCAATTTGGGCCAAGTGGCTAGGGCTGTGTGCATTGACTGGCTAGCAGAGACTTGGTTGATGAGTGGAGGGGTAGCAGAAAGACTAACGCACTCGGGCGTCCGGCCAGGGGCAAGGATTATGTGAACTACGACAAGGTCGGCTAGTTCGCTGGTGGCATCATCATCGGCGAAAAGAAGGAGGGGAAAAAAAAGAAGGAAGAGGAGACTCGTGGAGACCCAGAAGCTTTTTTGACCGATATTTCTTTTTCGCCCACAACGCTATGACCCCTCCACCCGATGCGCCATCGGCTTGCTTACGAGCTAGTCTGGTATCCGTGCTAACCCGGCACCTGATGTCTATTTTCTCTTTTCACCTAGGAAAAGCCAGGGCGCCTGCCGGTGTCACAGCCGGCTTCTCGAGCCCCTTCGACTTGTTGCAATATTAGTCCCAATGTGGCTTGCAGCACGCCCCCAAGCCCCCCAATCCAGTCGCATCTCGCCATGTGGCGAAAGTGCCCGTGAGAGGTGCCCACATGAAAGTTCCGAGAGCCTCCTCCCTGTCAACTTCCATTCCTTAGTTGCAATTTTCCTCCCCATTTATGGAATGGGGTCAGTAAGGAATACATCCCGTCCGACCCCATCTGGTTGATGCTTCCACTCCCGTGCTCTCGAGTGCTACGCCCCGGTCACCCTTGCCAGTCTAGTAATCCCTCTGCTGTATGTCTCGCCACAGCGTTCAGCTGTCCAGGCGGCGCATACCGAAACACGAGATACTCCCGGTGGCGTTGCTGGTAGCTTTCAGTGAGAATTGCATTATTCCCATTGTTCCTCCTGGTACTCAATAGCCCAGGAATTTCGTCTGACAAGATATCCAATGAGAGCCTCGGGAATGGCCTTGCGTCACCACCAGACAGGGGCAGTCCCGCAGGATTCCGTTCAGCACCGTCTTGGTGACATGTACCAGCGTCAAAGCGTCCGTGATAATCACGTATGCGAGCGGCCCTACGAGGGACTCAAGGGGATGCAGAATCCCTCGCGCTTGCCCATCTCGGCAGGTATCACCGGTGGCTCCGCGCAACAAGCAAAGATATAGCCCCTGGCGCGAAGAACTGACTCGCAGAGCCGGCGTCCAAAGTACCTCCTCTTTGACATCTCATCTTCTTGGAGCTAGGCAAGGGTCCATATTCCGGGGCGCCACAGGAGCGCCTGTCGGAGCACAGACTCGGGGCTACGTATTGACGGGGAGTCCTGCCAGTCGAGACCGTCCATCCCTGCCTGCTCTAGCTCCAAGGCCAACCCCCTTGTATTCCCACACCCTTCCCTCTCTCCAATTCATCAAGTATTTCCACTGCCTCTACGCCCACCCTGATTCCTGGTCTTTTTTGCTTCCCTCTTCGACTGTCCTGACAGAAAGCTTGCCCACCTGCCTGCCTGTCCGCCTCGGCTTGGCCCCTCCACGACCTCCTGTGCTACAGTTTTGAGCTTCCGGAACCTCATTGACATCCAAAATGGTTCCTGACAAGAGCCGAGTGGCTCTGCTCGAGCTTTGCACCAAGGCAACTCTCATGGGCAACAACATCTCAGTTCGAATGCTCGAGTTCCTCAGCTCGGTCAAGCATCAGCCCCATGGGTTCAAAAACCTGGCCCAGGACTTCCTCGATATCTGCCGCATCCTGTGGGCCATCGAGGCCGGCCTATCGGAATGCTTTCGCGCCGGCCAGCACTTCCCCGACGATATGGTCAAGGAACTCAACGGCAAATTCCGGCAGACCAACGCAGACTTCCAGGTGCTTGACCACATGATGGTCGAGTTCCTCGAGTACGAGAACGGCGGCGTGGGCGGGAAGCTGCGAAAGGGGTGGCGGATGATGTTTGCCGAGAAGTCCATCGCCAAGATACGGGACTCCCTGGGCAAGTCACGCGACTCTCTGCGCATGAGTGCCCTCGTGTTCCAGTGGTCCCTGGGCAACGCCTCGCCAGATGGGTCAATTGGCAGCGGCTACAGCGAACTGGCGGCCGCCCTTGACCGCATGGCCAAAGGCCGCCCTGCCGGGCGCACGCCCAAGAACAACGACTATGAAGCCACCATGTCGGGACCCGCGCCAAAATTGGGTCCCAGACTCCAGAGCGATCTGCCAAAGCTGCCGGCGCTCCCGCCCACCATGGCGCCCCTGTCGCAGTCGGACGACATGGCCCTGATAATGAGAGACGACATCGAGCGCCCGGTGCTCAACCGCAGGGACTCGATGAGGAGTAGGGACAAGGATGAGACAAGGAGTACCAGGAGCGGTAGGAGCGGCGTCGGTCTTAGGGTCGGCACTGAGAACCGCAGCCTATACAGCGACGATCACGACCGAGACCGCGCCGCCCTGGCCCACCGGCGATTCGATAGGCGAGACGACCGGGAGGAGATTCCTGGCATGCTGTCTGTTACGACCAAGCTGTCAACCGCATTGTACAACAACTCAGCGCGTCGTGCTTCTACGTCGAGGACGGTGTCTGACAGCGGCATGATGGCCGCCCCGGGCCCTCAAATACGCTCAATGACGGAAAGTGCCAACATAAACAGCCGCATATCAGCGAGGGAGGTCACCAGCCCCTCAACCGCCAGCCAAGTCAGCCGTGGCAGGCTCGTGGGGCAGGAAGAAAACACGTCACCGGGTCTGACCGACTCGGAGACTCTGCTCGACGACATGGACAGCCTGGAGCTGAGCTTCAGCGGGCCTGTCAAGGCTATCCGCCTTCAGGCCGACCCGCTACAGATGCCTCGCTGGAGCCCACGCAACAAGGCCCCGACAGGCGGAAACGCCTCCAGTCTTCGGATGGCGCTGATCTCAGCCGTGCAGGGCCAGAAGCACAAGATGGTGGAGCAGCTGCTAGACCGTGGCGTCTCGCCCGAGACGAGCCCCGACACGCACGTGCTGCGCGAGGCCGTGCTCAACAACGACCCGGAAAGCATGCGCCTGCTGCTGCGCTTCAGCGCCGATCCCAACTCACCCGACAAGGACGGCGTCACGCCCCTCTTCAGCGCCGTCGAGTCGGGCTACATCACGGGCGCCAACCTGCTCCTCAAGTACGGCGCCGACCCCAACCTCTGCGCCGGCCCGGAGCCCGAGTCGCCGCTGGCGCTGGCCGTGGTGGACGGCAAGTTCGAGCTGGTGCAGTTGCTGCTCATGTACGGCGGCGACGCCAACCACTCGCTCAGCTGCGGCAACACGACGCTGATCGCGTCCATCGGCAAGACCACGCCCAAGCGCATCGTTGCGCTCCTGCTCGAGTACGGGGCCGACCCCGACGCCAAGAACTCGGAGGGTAAGACGGCCCTGTTCGAGGCCATCAACGCCGGACGCGTCGACGTGGTCCAGATGCTGCTGGACCACGGCGCCAACCCCAACCTTCCAGGCCCCAAGCACATGCTCTGGCCGGCCACCATGCAGCCGGCGTGCCTCAAGCTGCTGCTGGCCCGCGGCGCCGACACGCGCAAGGCGCCCGGCATTCTGGAGCTGGCCACGTCGACCAACAGCCCCGAGTCGGTGCGCATCCTGATCGAGGCGGGCGTCGACGTCAACGCCAAGAAGGACGGCGTCTACACGCCGCTCTGCACCTCTATCCGCGACAACCGCGCGGACCTGTTCAACATGATCCTGGCGGCGGGCGCGGACCCCAACGTGCCGTCGGCCGAGTACCCATGCTTCAAGTGCATCACGCACTTCCGCACGCAGTACCTCCCGCAGCTGATCGAGGCCGGGGCCAACATCTCGTCGCCCCCCGGCATCTGCGAGATGGCGGTCAAGATGAATAACATCGAGGGCCTCCGCTGGCTCCTGGACCACGGCGGCGCCGACCCCAACGACAAGAACGAGCAGGGCCAGACGGCGCTGACGACGGCGATCCGCGAGGGCCGCGTCGAGATGGCGCAGGTCCTACTGGCCGGCGGCGCCGACGCGACGGTGCGCGGCGAGGGGTGGCCCGTATGCATGGCGGTCAAGCAGCCCGATATCCTGCGCCACCTGCTCCCGACCCTGCCGGACCCGCGCGCCTTCCGCGGCGTCATGGAGATGGCCGTCGTCGCCAACCAGCTCCCCAGCGTCAAGCTGCTGCTGGCCGCGGGCGTGTCGGTCGAGGACCGCAACGGCGGCGTCTTCTCGCCCCTGACCACGGCCATCCGGGAGGAGAACAAGCAGATTGTGCTGTTCCTGCTCGACGAGGGCGGCGCCAACGTCAACGCGCCCGGCGAGCACCTCCCCATCGTAAAGGCCATCCGCCGCTGCGTCGCCACGGGCTCGCACGACATCATCAAGTTGCTGCTCGAGCGCGGCGCCGACATTAACCACATGTACCGCGGCTGGAACGGCGTCCTGCAGGCCGTCGAGAACGGAGACCCCGTCGTGCTCCGCCTACTCATCGACCACGCCGGCCCCCGCGCCGTCGACCTCGAGGCTCGCGACGACGACGGCCGCAGCGCCATCGACGTGGCCCTCGGACGTGGCTTCAAGGAGGCTGTCGACATTCTGCGTGCGGCCGCCAAGGCTACGTGATTTCGTTGCTGCTGGATTGCAGCTTCTTTCCCGACCCTAGCCCCTTTTTCACTCCCATTATCTTCGTATTTGATGTTTTTTTACTCCCATTTCTTTTTTTTTTTTTTTTTTTCCTTGGCTTTTTTACGTAATACTTCAAATCGCAGATTCTCATGCGTCTCTTCCATTTGTCTTCGGATTTTTTTTTCCTTTTGGGGCGCGGAATCACCACTTAATATTTGGTTTTCTGGCGCATCGCGGGCGGCAACATGGTATTTGTCGTTGTTCCCGCCATCAACCTCTCGACTTTACAATCCTCTATGTCGTTGTCCGTTATTCGCTTTCCTTTGTATGCCTTTTGTACCTCAAAATACTACCCATGTGCGATCAATAGCAGAAACGAAAACCACCATGGCTCCTTCTATCGAAGCCCCCTGGGCGTGAAGTCACACCCCCACTACCCAGGACTAGGATGGCACCACATTAAGGCTGAAGCTTATACCAGGATCAATTTTGCTTTTATTCGATCCCACACTCCCCGAGCGGGATCCATGTTAGCGGGTGAACGGCTTACCCGATCCGGCTCTCCGACTGGCCGCAGAGAAAGTATCGAGCCGACAAACAAACACATTTCCCTGTCTTTCAAAATAGCGCAAACCCAATAGGAACATCCGCGCAGCCGGGTGGACGGAGAACTAAACGGGGCCCGGGTTCGCTCGGTATTAAGCATCCTACCCCGTACAGGTATCAGGGATCAGAAACGTTAGTGCGGTGGATCCTTCCTAATTGAGCCACGTACCCAAATACATTTTTCACCATAGAGAATCCCGCCAAATCGATGTATCGCTACCCTCACCTCCATTTGCCAGAACCCACTAGAATCGTCCCAAGCTATTAGTTACAATACATTGATTCCTACTACAAATTGTGTGGCACGCTGTGTACCCTTACCCCCCTGGTTGATCCACCGCACTAACGTTTCTGATCCCTGGAACCTGTAGGACGAATACGAGGAGTGGTGGCAAAAACTGTCGTTTGGGGCTGTGACCTTGCAGGCACACTACCGCCCGTAGGCCTAGGAACCCATGGCCTGAATACATAGCTGCGTGTTGCTGCCTAGGCGGCAACCAATAGGGGCTTGGGTAGGGCAATCTACCAAAGTTCCGCGTCTGGACTAACCCTGACCTATAAAGACGCTAGGAGAAAAACTAGTCTGGAGCTGACGAGGCGCCGGGAAGATAGCAGCCACATAAGCCATGGTCCCAAAAGGACCAAGCTTGGGAACATGTGGAAAGCATCTATGTGGGCCGGTAAAGCGATGGCCGGGGTTGTGGCCTTGGGACAAAGAGGCAAGCTATTCCTGGCGCCGGCCATGGCGCCCGCTAGTTCTGCAGTCTCGGTAAAAGGGAATGAGTGTTTAGCCCAGCCCGGCCACCATGTCGATAGCGTTGCGGCGGGGAAAGCCGCCTTTCGATAAACACGGAGGTTAGGGGGTGGTAGGCTGCCCTCATCTTCCCATCATCTTTTATTGCTACTGCACACCCGTCTCCGGCTCATCGCCTCTTGACAGCGTCCATCCACTCGTGCCCGGCCTTTGTGCCGTCGTGCGCCATGCGGAACAGCGCGCGCTCCCACTCGTCCAGGCCCCTCAGGAACTCCTCGCTGACGCCGCCGAGTCCGACGTTGCTGCCCTCATCCTTCTTGGCCCCAGCCGTCCCGACACCACCACCACCACCGCCACCACCAGCGGCGGCGGCAGCAGCACTAGCGCCGCCGGCCTTGCGGGCGTGCAGCCCGACGTCGGCGGCGCGCACGACGAAGCTGCGGCGCAGGACGGCGGCCAGGTCGCGCTCCTCGAACAGGTCGAGGATGCGGACGGCGAGGGCGTAAAAGTGCGGGCTGCGGTCGCGCAGCGGGACGCTGCGCGGGTCGGCCTTGAGGGCCTGCACGACCTCGTCGGCGAGCGGGGAGGGGAGGTTGAGTGACGCGAAGGATGAGGCGGCGCCGCGCGGGTCGTTCGGGTCCGAGGTGTTGGCGAGCGCGAGCATCTCGGCCAGCCAGAGCGGGAGGTTGACGCGCGCGCCGGCCTTGAGGCCATGCGAGGGTGAGTTGTCGAGGTAGCCGAGCTCGGGGACGTCGATCTGGAACTCGCAGGGGATTTTCTAGACGTGGTTCGGGGGGGATGTCAGTTGCGGGTTAGTTATGTAAGTCGAAAGGTGGGAAGGGACTTTTGTCCTCAATGTGAACCCACCTCGGCATCCGTGAGGATGGCGTCAATATCGTAGTAAGACATTGGAAGGGACGAGAAAGGCCCCTGGCGAGCCTGCGACAGGTTTGGGACAGCAAGTGAAAGGCAGTCGTGCTTTCAGTGCTGGTCAGGGACTCCTGGCTGGGACTCGACAAAGACGCGATAGAGCTTGGCGATGGCGGGGGGAGACGTGACAGTGGGGTCGAGGCAGAGGGCGAAGCTTGGGCCAAGCGGGAAAGCAAAACCATAAGCTCTAGCCAATGGGAAGCTCCACTAGTGCGACGGGCGTCCAATTTTCCCATCAGTTTGATGTCATCGCCGAAGATCCGATCCGAGGAGCTTAACTCGCAACTTGTCGCAGGACAAAGCCCGAGCCCAGCGTCCTCAGCCACCGACGCAATTTTGTCCTTCATCGAGTGAACAAGCAAAGCAGACAACATTCCGCATCAAAAAATCCCCAAAGTCTTCACCATAAACCCACAATGGCTTCGACTCTGCTCCGCACCTCGCCCACCCTGCGCGGGGCTCTGCGCTCCCGCGCCATGAAGCCCGTCGCCGCCATGGCGAGCACCAGCTTCGTCCGGGGCAAGGCGACCCTACCCGATCTGACCTGTAAGTCCCGCTAACCCTCGGCGCCATATAATCAGAGCCTCAATGCTCACGCCCCCTCCTCCCCCGCCAGACGACTACGGCGCGCTCGAGCCCTACATCTCTGGCCAGATCATGGAGCTGCACCACTCCAAGCACCACCAAACGTACGTCAACGGCCTCAACGGCGCCCTGGAGGCCATCGCCAAGGCGCAGGAGGCGGGCGACGCGTCGGCCGTGGCGGCGCAGGCGCCCATGATCAACTTCCACGGCGGCGGGCACCTCAACCACAAGCTCTTCTGGGAGAACCTGGCGCCGGCCAGCGGCGGCGACGGCGGCGGCGACCCGGACGGCAAGCTCAAGGGGGCCATCGAGGCCGACTTTGGCTCGCTCGACGTGATGCGCAAGCAGATGAACGCCGCCCTGGCCGGCATCCAGGGCAGCGGCTGGGCCTGGCTCGCAAAGGACAAGAAGACGGGCGCGCTCTCGGTCGTGACGCGCGCCAACCAGGACCCCGTCACGGGCGGGCTCGAGCCCCTGCTGGGCATCGACGCCTGGGAGCACGCCTACTACCTGCAGTACCAGAACCGCAAGGCCGAGTACTTTGACGCCATCTGGAACGTCGTCAACTGGAAGACGGTGGCCGCGAGGTTCGAGAAGGCCTAGGGCATTGGCGGCGTAACGCTGTTTTACGAGACGTAGTTGTATAATAGGACCGCTTTTGATGAAGTATGGGTTGGCCGAGTGACTTGCACTTGCAGTTGAAAGCTTACCACTGTTGTCAAGTACAGTAGGCACCTCAAAGGGCAACATCTAGGACCCGTACTGCCTGAATATTTCTGTTTTGTTTCTGTCCTTGTCTTCTACCCCTGATAAAGTGAAGGGTTTTGTTCGAGAAATGTGCTCGCCACCGACCAATGTCGAAATGTTTGAAGTGTGATGCATTGCATTTCAAGGGGAATGGTATAACGGAAATGCCCACCAACACGAAGAAAGGTCTTTGCGAGGCATGACACGAGCGATGCATAGTGGTTGACACAGCTGGCGAGGGGTAGATCAAGACTCGCCCATGAGCCTTTCCCTTGGCCACATGGCAACTGTGAAGGCAAACAGATCATCCAAGTCATGCATCAACACAGAGCGGCATAAAAGAGACTTGAATTATTATCGTTAATCAAGCAAACCCGCTTCCAAACCCAACCCAACCCAAACTCCTCACCCTCACCGGTCCAGAATCTCCATCTTGACCAGCAGCGCGCACCTCGTCTCGTGGCCCTTGAGGTCCAGCATGCGGATGAAGGACCAGCCCGCGTCCTCGGGCACGTACAGCAGGCGCATGGCGGCGACGGCGAAGACGGGATTCCGCGCAAAGGCGTCGTCGCTCTTGACGAGCAGGCGCAGGAACACGAGCTCGTCGTCGTCGTACTCCCACTCGAGCGTCTCGTCCCACATGGGGTCCGTGGGATCGGGCGACTCCCTGCCCGGCCGCAGGAACCCCGTCAGGCGGTGCCGGCGGTAGGGCCGCGTCTTGCGCTTGGTCTCGCCGTCCGGGTGCACGAGCGTGCACGTCAGGTACGGCTTGATGTCGTCGGCGGTCCGCCCCGCGGGGAGG